ACCCTCACCCCCAAAATACCAATAACCTGCCACCACCTACCATACCTAAAACACTCAACCTGCAAATTTTAACCATACCAAAACTACCAAAAGCCACTTCCAAATTTTGACCGCAGAACTCCTAGACAATACACCCCAATTGCTGAACCCATAGCTCAACTGTATGAGAGATTTAAGGCCGCTGGTTACGTCACCCCTATTCCTGCTGTTGTTTGTTGAGAATCCTTCCCAGTGGATCAATCCCAACAAACACATGTGCCTATCATTCAGGCATGAAGGGTCATACCATCAAAGAGTGTTGTACGTTAAAAGACAAAATTCAGATACTGATCGACACTAAGGTTATACAAGCAAAGAAAACTGCATCGAATGACTACAATAACCCTCTCCCAGATCACAAGGGTGAGGGGGCGAACGTGATAGAAACTGATGAGGAATGGGATCTGAAAGGGTCCATCAGACTCATTCGAGAGGGAAACACTCCTAAAACATCTCCGGTCACCCTCATGCCAGTTGTGGTACAAACCCGGGCACCATTTGAGGTCGAGGTAGCTACACCCTTCACTGTAATGTTAGCTCCCACACCTTCTTACAAGTCCGATGCCATCCCATGGGATTATGTTGCCGAAGCGAGAAGAAAGGGGAAAGCCAAGATGAAAGAAACAAGCGTTGCGAAAGGTATGACTAGAACTGGAAGAGTTTACACACCTGAGAATCTTGGAGGAATGAGCAAAGAAGCTGCACCTAAGCCGCCTGTTGTTGAGACTGGCACTGACGATCTTTGGAGGAAGATACAAGCAAAGGAATAATCTGTTGTTGACCACCTGAACAAGACTCCCGCTTAGATATCCATCTTATCACTGTTGCAAAACTCAGACGCACACAAGAATGCCTTGATGAAAGTGTTAAGTGAAGCTTATGTCCCCACCGGCATCACGAATGGAGAAATGGCTAACATGGTCAAACAGGTACTAGAGAGTCACAAAATTACTTTCTTCGAAGATGAGTTACCGCCAGAAGGGTTGAGTCACAACCATACATTTCACATCACAGTGCAATTTGAGGATAAGTTCATTGTCAGGGCCTAATAGATGGAGGTTCGAGCCTGAACATATGCCCACTAGCCACTCTGAAAAGATTAGGTAAAGACCTGCACGAGATACAGATGGGAAGCATGAATGTCAAGGAATTCGATGGATCTCAGAGAGCCACCATCGGGGAAATCAACCTTGATCTAAAGATTGGTCCGACTTGGTTTGATGTTGAGTTCCAAGTGCTAGATATATGCTATTTACCACCTATTATTGGGACGACCATGGATACATGCAGCTGGGGCAGTGGCTTCTACTCTGCACAAGACTGTGAAGTTCGAACGGAATCATCAGGAGGTGATCATTCATGGAGACGAAAGCAACCCTATCTACACTAACCAGACCATTCTAGTCATCAAAAACAGGAGGAAGTTGGGCGAAGAAACATATCACCGCATTGAGTGGGTCAACGCAATTGAAAAGGATCAATGGTGGAGCAACAAGATAGAAAGCACATTGTTGTGGACGGGATACGAACTAGGCAGGGTCTTGGTAAAAAGCTTCAGGAGATCACTAAACCCATACAACTACAGTATCATGGCACGGACTTTAGACTTGAGTATGAATATACCGTACAAGACCATCAGGATTGGATATCGCCATGGCGCGCCCATTATTATCCGCTAGAATAACCCATACCACCTCTGCACCAAACATTCCATCACGCTGACATGATGTGGGGATCCAAGGAAGATGAGATTTTGACAGGTATGAGGAAGCTATTTCTAGACGAGGAAGACATGGACTGTAGTGTAATTGTGGAGGAGGAGGAGGAAGACCTTACCATTCAAACAGTGGGAGAATGAGCTATTCTCAAGAACTGGACCGGTGCACCATCCCGGGCTCGTCGAGTTCCTAGGTAGCCTAGCAAATTAGCATGACTTGTTTTCAAATTGTTTTGAGAATTTAAGACATTTTCAATATTTTATTTTGAAATAATTACTCGAGCCATTGAGTCGTACTTGTTGACATTTTTAATTTTTATTAATGAATTATTGATTTTCGTATTTATTATTATCTTTCTACATTCTTTTCAGCATAATTATTACATATCTTGATGAACCTACGACTGTGACATGTAATGAGACAACGCAACATAAGGATAGTGATTCGGAAGATCTGGAAGATGATGTAATACCAGAGGAAATTGTCAAAGAAGTAGAGAATTTTAAAAACAAACCAAAGTCTAATTTGGAGGAAACTGAGGCCTTTAACTTAGGGGATTCTGAAACAGTCAACGAAGCTCGCATAAGCATTCATCTTTCACCGTCAGAGAAGGAAGATTATATCAAGTTTCTAAAGGAATATGAGGATATTTTCATATGGTCCTACGACGATATGACTGGGTTAAGCACATCCATAGTAGCTCACAAGCTACCTACCAATCCCATGTGTCCACCGGTAAAGCAGAAGCTCAGAAGGTTCAAGCCAGATATGAGTCTGAAGATAAAAGAGGAGGTCACCAAGAAAATCAAAGCCAAGGTTCTTCGAGTGGTCGAATACTCGACCTGGTTAGCTAACATTGTGCTGGTTCTGAAGAAAGATGGGAAAGTTAAAGTATGTGTTGACTACCGAGATCTAAACAGTCAAGTCCTAAGGATGATTTCCCGCTGCCTAACATACAGATACTAAATGACAACTGCGCCAAGCATGAACTGCAGTCCTTTGTGGATTGCTTCGCAGGATATCATCAGATTTGGATGGATGAAGAGGATGCCGAAAAGACCGCCTTTATCACACCAAGAGGAATATTTTGTTACAAAATGATGCCGTTTGGTTTGAAGAATGCTGGGGCCACCTACATGAGGGCCATGATTAATATGTTCCACGAGATTATACACAAGGAAATAGAGGTATACGTGGATGATGTTATCATCAAATCTATAAGGAGTTCAGATCACATAGCGGACCTGTAGAAGCTTTTCGACCGACTTCGAAAATACAATTTGAAGCTGAACCCCGCAAAATGCACCTTCGGATTCTTTGCTAGAAAGTTGCTAGGTTTCATCGTCAGCCGCCGGGGTATTGAGCTAGACCCATCGAAAATCAAAGTTATCCAAGACTTGCCACCCCCGAAGAATAAGAAGGATGTGATGAGTTTTCTAGGGCACCTCAACTATATCAATCGCTTTATAGCACAATCAACGGTGATATGTGAGTCGATCTTCAAGATGCTGAGGAAAGATGCTGCAACAAGTTGGACTGAAGAATGCCAGAAAGCTTTCGATAAATCAAGCAGTATTTATCTAAACCGCCCGTGTTGGTCCCGTTAGAACCTCGAAGACCTCTGCTGCTTTATCTAGCCGTGTTAGATGGAGCCTTTGTCTGCTTTCTAGGGCAACATGACAAAACTAGGAAGAAAGAGCAGACGACAAATTATCTGAGCAAGAAGTTCACACCTTATGATGCCCGGTGTTGTCTGTTGGAACGCACCTGCAGTGCTTTGATATGGATAGCCCAGAAGCTGAGACATTATTTCTGTGCATACACTACATATCTCATATCAAGGATGGATCCAACAAATTACATCTTCCAGAAACCCATGCCTACGGGTAAATTCGCAAAATGGCAGATATTGTTGAGTGAGTTCGACATCATCTATGTGACTCAGAAGGCAGTCAAGGGGCAAGCATTGGCTGATCACTTAGCGGAGAATCCCATTGACAGAGAATACGAATCACTGAAGACATATTTTCCTGACAAGGAAGTATCGTTTGTAGGTGAAGATATTACCAAAGAATACGATGGTTGGAGGATGTTCTTTGACAGAGTAGAAAACTTCAAAAGAGTGGGTATTCGAGCTATTTTTGTATCAAAGACCGGTAAATATTATCCGATATTCGCAAAACTCAAGTTCCCGTGCACCAACAATCTGGCATAATATGAGGCCTGCATCTTGAGACTCATATTGGCAATCGACATAAACGTTCAGGAGTTGCTGGTAATCGGAGATTCTGATCTATTGGTACACCATGTACTAGGGGATTAGGCTACTAAGAACACTAAAATATTGCCATATTTACATTGTGTACAAGAGTTGATCAAGAGGTTCACAAGGACAAAAATTCAAACATGTTCCAAGGATCCAGAATGAGTTTGCAGATGCACTAGCTACCTTGTCTTCCATGATACAACATCCAGAATAAGTTCACAGATGCACTATCCCAATAGGAATTCATAAGCATCCAGCTTATTATGCTCATGTTGAAGAAGAGTTCGACGGAAATCCATGGTTCCACGATATCAAAGAATACTTGGAAAAGGGAGAATATCGAGAGAATGCTACACATACGCAGAAGCGCACGCTTCGAAGATTGGCCAATCATTCTTTCAAAGAGGATGAATTTTGTATAAAAGGACTCCTGATTTGGGATTATTGCGATGTGTCATGCGAACGAAGCATCTAGACTGCTCGAAGACATACATGCCGGAACTTGCGGACCTCACATGAACAGTTTCATTTTGGCCAAGAAGATATTAAGAGCAGGTTATTTCTGGATGATTATGGAGACAGATTGCATCAAATATTTTCAAAAATGTCACCAATGCCAGATACATGCTGATATGATACGAGTACTGCCCAACGAACTCAATGCAACGAGTTTACCCTGGCCTTTCTCTGCTTGGGGCATGGATGTCATAGGACCAATTGAACCCGCTACTTCAAACAGACACAAGTTCATCTTGGTGGCTATAGATTACTTCACAAAATGGGTTGAAGCCGCTTCCTATAAGGAAGTGACTAAGAAGTTCGTGGCGGATTTTGTCCGGGATCGTATTTTTTGTCGATTTGGAGTGCCTGAGTCAATCATTACTGACAATGCCGCCAATCTCAATAGTGACATGATGAAAGCTATATGCAAAATATTCAAGAGCATGCATAGGAATTCTACAGCATACAGGCCGTAAATGAATGGAACCTTGGAGGCCGCCAACAAGAACATCAAGAAGATATTGAGGGAAATGGTGGACAACTACAAGAAACGGCATGAAAATCTACCATTTTCTTTTCTTGGATACCGCACCATAGTTCGTACATCAACTGGGGCAACCCCTATATACTGGTCTATGATACCGAAGTCGTTATCCCTGCCGAAGTAGAGATTGCTTCCTTAAGGATCATACAAGAGGCCGAGCTCAGCGAAGCGGAAGGGGTACGAAACCGGTATGTAGAGGTGTTCAAAACCGAACCGAAACCGAAAATCGAACCAAAACCGAAGCTAAATGTCTTATTGGTATCGGGTTAACGCTTTAACGGGCGGGGAATGGATTTAAACTTTCTTATTAACGGCTTATCAGTTTGGGGGCGGATTATTCAATTTTCTTAACGGATAATCCGTTAACCCGTTAAGAATATATATATATATATATATATATACATACAAAATTTATTTTTATCCATATATATATNTATATATATATATATTAAATAATCAAAAACCCTTCTTCCACTTCTAGTACTCTATCTCTATTCTCTATTACTAATTTACTATTAGACATTTAGAAACCCTAACGCCTAAATTCACTTGTTTCTATCTACGGCCACAAAACATGCTTGGGGTCTTACATTTTTGATGTTCCACGTTATGTAAGCTGGATATAACTCCTTATCGCCTTGTGTTTCCGTGATATTGTCTCTTTACAGGTTGAAGTTGATGAGGATCCAGCAGAAGCCAAGAAGGAAGGACAAGATGCGACAACTGAGGTAGCTAGGAGTAATACATATTCTGGGGGTAGCTTTGTTGATTCTACTGTTGTCTTTTTCCATTTCTGATGAAATTTCCAACTCTCTACAACAGAAAAAGAAGAAGACCAAAAAAATTGTGGAGAAATATTGGGACTGGGAGCTTACAAATGAGACTCAACCAATATGGGTTAGTCTCCAGATTACTATCTCCTGCTGCTATGCTTCAAAAGTTTGTTCTTACTGATATAATGAGTTACTGTCTTTCCTTTCCAGCTTCAAAATCCTAAGGAAGTAGGTCTGCTCTGAACTCAAAGAGCGTCATGTGCAATATAGATTGAATTAGGCCGATAAACCGCCCGATAATCGCCCGATAAGAGCTAAACAGATACCAATCCGCACGATATCTTATCGGGTGGCTAGCGGATTAATACATTTAAAAGTCGATAATCGATAAGCCAAACCGTTAAGAGTAAATAACCACCCAATCCGCCTGATAAGCAGCCCTACCGATATGAACAACTAGCTCTCATTGATGGTAAAAGAATGAACGCAATGTGACACAGTCAACTCTACCTAAATAGAATGGCAAGAGCTTTCAATAAAAAGGTTAGGTCAAGGCAGTTCCCACCGGGGCAATTGGTGCTGAAACGAATCTTCCCACATCAGGATGAAGAAAAGGGGAAATTCTCACCCAACTGGAAAGGCCCTTACATGGTTCATCGAGTACTGAGAGGAGGAGCACTTATACTTGCATAGATGGATGGAGAGATATGGCAAAAACCTATCAATTCGGACGAAGTCAAGAGATATTATGTTTAAGACTATGTTTGCACTTTCTATATGATGTAACCTGAAGTACGCTTGACCTGATTTTCGTTTAAGAGGGGATGCGTAGGCAGCCCTGTGGGTTCGGTCACATCATAATAAAATCCCTATTCTCCCTCTATGGTCATAAATTAGGGCAAGATCTAGAATTTGCCCGATCTCATCGTATTTACGATCACCAAGGAATGTATCGCCAAAAGTACGCATTTGAAATAGGACAGAATTTTGAGGAGGATTCTCAAAGTTTCGAGTTAAGGAGGTTGCAATGTCTCAAAATGTGTCACAGTCTCCGATTCGAACATTACTTGTTTTATGCATCATCACATATTTTGAACAAAATGCATTGTTATATAAACGACTTATCACAAATGCATATTTTCCGAAAATTTCATTTTTTGTAGTAGCCAGACGTTACCCAGGGTGACTCAAATAGGACCTCAAGACAGGGGCGAAGGCAGATCAAGGAATCGAGAGCACGAACCAATCTTCCCCCCCAAACTCACGATTTTTTTTGGATGCAGGCACAATGGACATAACAAGAACGTCCGCAAATATACACATACAACAAGATCACTATCTTCACACCGACAGAAGTCACCAAACACAAACGCGCCAAGCTAAGAGTAACTTTTCCCTCTCACATTTAATCGTTGCTATTCCTGCATAGGGCTAAACACTGTCCTCATTCTTTGCATAAGGCTAACCATTGCCTTCCTTTGCACGAGACTAAGCATTGTCTCTATTCTTTGCATGAGGCTAAGCACTGCTTCCATTATTGCATAAGGCTAAGCATCGCCTTTCCTTGCATGAGACTAAGCATTGTCTCCATTCCTTGCATGAGGCTAAGCACTGCCTCCATTATTGCATAAGGCTAAGAATTGCCTTTCCTTGCATGAGAATAAGCACTGTCTCCATTCCTGGCATGAGGCTAAGCACTGCCTCAATTATTGTATAAGGCTAAGCACTACTTTTCCTTGCTTGAGACTAAGCACTGTCTCCATTTCTTACATGAGGCTAAAAACTACCCCCATTATTGCATAAGGCTAAGCACTGCCTTTGTTTGCATGAGACTAAGCACCGTCTCCATTCTCCCTATGAGGCCAAGCACTGCCTCCATACTGCATAAGGCTAAGCACTGCCTCACCATTGCATAAGGCTAAGCACTGCCTTTCCTTGCATGAGATTAAGCATTGTCTCCACTCTTTGCATTAGGCTAAACACTACCCTCATTTCATACAAGACTAAGCCTTGTCTCGTCTCGTTCTTGCATATGACTAAGCATTACCTGTTTCCTATATCAAGCGATTGATATCACCGCATCTTTGCATTTCATGGGCTGAAACATTGCCACATTGTTCGAAGGCACCATAGTCTGAGGGTATCATCCTCATAGCCCGAAGACATCATGCCATGGTTAGAGGATCTGTGGAAATTGCATATCATTATTCAAAGGCGTCATAGTCCAGAGGCACCATCCTCATGGCCGAGGACACCATTCCATGGCCTGTGAATCCCTTATCATACGCTTAATGACCCAGGACATCATAGTCTAAGGACATCATACTCATCATCCAAAGACAACTCTCACGGTCCAAAGGGAATTTGCATCAAGTTTAATTTTTCGCAATAACCCCATATATGTTTGCGTGTATCGTCGTTTAAGTTTTGTAGGTAACTCGGGGGGCAACCTTTCTACGAACAGGAGCAATCCTCGCTCCGGTTTCCGTTCACAACGTTCACATCTTTCAATCATCTCGAACATAACCGATGATCAGTAATTGATTACCCTTTGTCCCGTAACCACTCAAATACTTACCTTATACATCCGTAATGTTCGAATTCGCATTCACACCTCCATCTAAAATTATCCGTTACTCACGACACTATCACATCCAAAAGATCCCTTCTCGAAATACACGACCACTCTGATAACGACTCCATCGGTTTCGTTTGCCATTGAATCCAGAACTACACACGACCTGATTCCCGTAACACTAGGGATATGTAGACAACTCAAGAACCAGGGTTCGACTCCCATTTTTCAAAACGCATCATACCCCACTCATTTCGAACAAAGTTGGTCATCATTTTCTTTATCCAACAACTCTTTTCATCATTCCGGGTAAAGAGGGGCAGCTGTTGATACCCAATTTTTCCCTCACATTTTATAAATATCATGTATACTTTAAAAATATCACTTTTTGCATTATTACCTAATTTTCAGGGGTCATATAAATATTTTCTATAATTTTCTAAAGTTTTGTAAAGCTTTAAAATTTATTTTCTTGCATTTAAATTATTTGAATATGTATTAATTACCCCCATCAAATTATTTTGTAATGACCTAATCACACAAATGTATTATTTGCATCCACATATATGTTTCATAATATTTTACTTCATGGCATATAATTATATTTGTATTTTAAAGCTATTTTACACAATTTTGCAACAATAGTCTATATTCTATACATAATTGTATTTATTATATTATTTATACTAAAATAGCATTTTATATTTTTTTAATGTTAAGCTATTATTTCAAGCATTTTACTGCATGAATAATATTTTTATTATTTATTTGTCATTTTTTTATAATTTATTTTTAATAAATTTTGTGTATTTAATTTGTAGCCCAATTTTGAGCTAATTTCGGACACAATTCACCACCCCACACCCTAAACTCCAGACCAATAATCCCTAGCCCAATACCGACGACCCACTATCCCATGCCCGTTCACTAACCTGATCCGCCTCTCATTAAATCCTGGCCGTTAATTTCCCAAGATCAACGGTGCACATGTCATTTACCTCTTCTAATTAACCTCACCCCAAACCCTAGCCTCATTTCACCCGGTCAGCCTCCTCTATATGCTCTCAAACCCTCCCCTCACTTCACAAACTCTAGTCGCCTCGCCAAATCTTCACCGAATCCGACCAAATCATGGATTCCTTCTGTGATTCTCTTACCTTTTACACGTTACCTCATTGTTACTTACAAAATTATGGTGTTACTTAGTATTTGCCTCACTTTTGGCAAATACCAGTCTTCGAATCAAGGGAAATCGGCTTCACTCTTCGAGATTTGGATGATATGTCATCTATATGCATCATAGCAAGGTCATATGGGTTCGATTCACCAAGATCTTCAATCAATTTTTGATTCCGGTCAAAGTAGGGTTTGCTTGATTTTTTCCTAATTTGGTTCTTAAACGATTCTACATGATCTTCCTTCCTTATTTAATGTTTGATTTATTGTGTTTCCTTGTTTAGATGTTTGATTTCAACTACTATATAAACCCTTCCCCAAATCACCTAGGACAAACCGGAAGAATGATTCTCTCTTCCCCTCACTCACTCGATACTATTCTGAATCTATTGTTCTTGGCCGGTTGAAAGTCAAGGCTACCGGAATTCGCATTCTCAACCTCCTTAGTGTGAGCACTGCTCAGGACTCATCAGAAGTCCTTATGAACTCTGACATAGTGGGATTGGGGTCTTGTTGTCCTCTATTGCTACTGATTTTCGAAGTATTGCTGAAATGAGCTATTCTCCTTTACTTATTCGTTAGTTCTACTGGTTAGTATCTTATACTCTCGTAATTTTATTAATTTCTGATTTTATGCTTTTTCTATGGGTGTTTAACATCATGCTATCTCAAACCTGCTCTAATTCTGACTTTTTCTAAGTGATACATGATGTTTACTTGGCTTGCAACTAAACCTAATTAATGCTTATCGAATGTTGTTTGAATTTCTGGGAAGATATGTGTGTCTAGAAGTGTTTTCTTCTTATTGAATCCCTTATACATCACCTGTTGTCTTGATGTAACCATGGGATGACCTTATATGAATACGTAGCCTAGTATACTTTTCCTTGACCTTATTAGCCTCAATGCTTGCCTATTGTAGATAACCAATCTGTTTGAATGCTTGTCTCTACGTTTAAGCCTAGTTGACTATTCAAGACTAGTGTTTATCTTGAACCATGACTGGGAATCTCTTAGGAGATAAATTCATGCTTAGAACCTATTGAAATATGCCTATGCCAAATCTTTTATGTATCCTTGTTATTCCCTGAGACCAACCTATGATCATATGAACTCTGTATGCTAATGTTGTTGCAATGCCAAGGCAGATTTATCCTTTGATTTGATGTTTTGTGATAGGGTGAATGTTAATCCCAGTTTTATTTACTCTTCTTTACACAATGCTTGCTTACTTTACTTACCTGAAAGTCAGCCTCTTCTCATCTGAATGCTCACTTATTGAGAAACTGAGTTGCTTGTCTGTCCTATATGTTAAGCTTTGCAAATTAGCTATTCTCATTAGGCTCTTATGCTAAAGTTTCCATGTTAAGTCTATATCTCCATGGTTTTTCCCATGACACTATTAGATTTCCATGTTCAAATCCCTGCTTACAGCTCCTTAGGATGGTTTTGGACTAGTCTTTGTTCTGGAACTTTGTTTGAAATACCCCTG